AACACTCAGACAGGCATGGTCACGCACACACTCAAGCCAACCAGCACTCAGACAGACATGCAGTCCAGCAAGCGTGCACACACAGACTTAGTAGCAGGCGGGAAACTCAGCAAGGCATTCAGTCTATGAGCAAAACTCAGAAATCAGCTGTGTTTCAGACCATGTTTGGACTGGTCATCACATACCCATGGGCGTCACTTCACTACACAACATTTGAGTGGATCTGGAGCTGGTAATGTTCCCAATACATTCAAAGTGCTGGATTGGTTGGAATGTATCTGGTCCATACTATATTCCAGATACATGCCAAATGTTGAGTAGTGGGCCGTGGTCCTATGAACTGAATGTTGATAAGAAGACTTCCTGAGAATGTTGTGCAGCGGAGCGAGGCTGGACCTTCACTGCCTCATCGATCAAGAGGCTGAGCCCACGACAGTTTGTAGAGCCCCGTCTATCCTTAAGGACCCAGAATCTGCCTTTACGTGAAGGGCTTTGCTTCGCTACATAACAGATGCATTCAGAATTTCAGACTGACCAAAGATTTTGAATGTATTGCAACCATTATCATAGCCGGATACACGTAGACTGATGTCTACTGGAGCGATGCCCAAAGTCAAGGCGGACTACGGGCCTCACTGCGCTTCTCACCAAAAAGAAAGGATCCAAGGAGGAGACCAAAAGGACCCAAGGGAACCTAGAGGATCCAAGGAGGAGACGGAAAGGACCAAGGAAACCTAGAGGATCCAAGACTGAAAGGACCAAGGTCACCAATGGGCATAGATCAGTTTGTATACTGTTGAAATACAGACCGGAGTTCGAATTCGAATGGAATCAGATGAGTGAAAAGTATTATAAAAAAAAAAAGGAACAAGGAAACCTATGGAAGGACAGGACGAATGAGTGAAAACTTAGGAAACCTACAATGACGTATGGCTCACTCCGAATCTCGACGCCAGTGTTCCTTCTGAATCCTCCAGACAGAAGAACGTGCATTGTGCGAGTTTCCTGCTCCCAGAAATGAGCACCATGCTCCAGACCATCACGAAGCGTTGGTGGCCTTGACATGGGAGCCAGACGTCCCAAGCCTTCTGTCCAAAGGTATCGACGTGACACCTCGTAGTACTGGACCCTGACCAGAAGCTCCTGCAGTTATACACAGCTCACCACCAATCATACCCATCCATCCATACATCCATCCAGTCAGCCAATCCATTTGTTGATTAGCGGATCATCCATCTCGGAAATGAAATGCAACAAGAACAGACAATGGATTTTAGCAGGAAGGAACATGCACTCTTGGAAACAAAGGGATTCAGGCAGCAAATGGCATGAAGACAGAGAGCACAGGAGGCTATATGTTTCAGATAGGTTGTTCTTCTTTGCGTTTATTAAGAACATGGCATGAGTTTGAATCCTGATGGAATCAAATGAACACAAAACTGGGAAGATACACAGAAGAATCTGTCATGCCTTCTCTCCTCTCCCCTCCCCCACCTGGCAATAGACAAATTTTACTATGGTCATATTTCTTTCTCACGCAGTCCCCTAACCAGGCCTACCTGCTGAGTGTCCCGGCTCCGTCGAAACATGTTAATGGGGTCCATCGATCGAGTTTGAGGTGTGCAGTGCTACAGTGACAGTCCCTTGGGAGTAGACTTAGCATGCTAGTACGATGATCTTGCTGGAATATGCTTTACAAGATGGAAGTCGTGTAACATCTGAAAGATTCTGAATTTAATATTAAAGAATGACTAGCCAACTGCCCAGTGCTGGTCTGCCTCCATGGGTGTGCATGCGCCTGGGTAATGAAGGGGAGGGCAGAGGGGAGGGGAGGGGAATGACGGGGTTACCTGGAGAAGAACTTCAGGACTATCGTACTACTAGAGGTTAGGCGGAGAGAGAGAGAGAGAGAGAGAGAGAGAGAGAGAGAGAGAGAGAGAGAGAGAGAGAGCATAGTGTGAAAAGGGTGATAGAAAGGATTCCAGAAAGCATTGGCATGAATGCATCTCCACAGTCATGGCGAAGAGTGACTCAACATCTTGGTGCTTTCGCTGATTTTACTGTCTTTTGTCCACTCCATTTTTCCTCCCTTATTTGATAGCCTGTGCAGTGCCACAGAAGAGTGCTAGTGGCTGGTCACACCTATTGCCTTAGTCCATAACATAATCGGATGGCGTACCCTATGCCACAGGAGAGCTAAAAAGGGTGGAAGAGTGGATTGTATTCATTACTCGATAATCAAAGCGTTTGGCACTGGGCCTGGTTTAAATTGGAAAAAAAAAGGTCAGACAGAAGACACAGGCCACACAAACAACAGTGCTCTTATCACCTCGTTAAGTGGTCCTCCCAGCATGCGAAGTTTCGAAAACAAAAAAAACGAGACAAACTCTTGGGCCTTAAAAGTACAAAAAAAGGGTTGGAAGAGATCAACAGTGGAGAGGACAACGACCTCGAAGGGACGAGCAAATGGTATCATCAGATTGACCGTCCTTGGCTGGGTTCCTGTTCACAGCCGGAAACAATATTACAGTCGACAGAAATCCACAGGATCCTGTCAGTGCCAGCAAAATCAAAGTGCCTTTCGTTCAGTGCAAAATAGCACACACCCAGTAGGTGCTGTTTTTCTGCATTGTTTGGAAGTCGGAAAAAACTCCAATTGCTACTTGGGATAAGGATTTAGGGTTTAGGGTTTACGGTTTGGGGCAGCTGTTATCAACAACTGGCTGTATATGGGCATAGCTTCGCCCCTCATGTGTTGGTTGTGTATCGTCTGGAAGTTGGAACAAACTTCAAACGCTACTTGGGATTAGCGTTTAGGGTGCAGGATTTTGGGCAGCTGGTACCAACAACCGGCATTCAGTAACCATAGCTTCGCCGACGTAGCGAAGTCAAAATTGTTGATATGTATCATATTTATTTGTTTTCTAATTTGTTTGCTGTATTTTTTTGGCATGTGCTTATTAGAATGTAACACTCAGTTTGCAACTTTGCATATCTGAACCGACCACCTATGTAGCATCACGTATTGTATTTCAAGACAGAGTTCTGAAAAGACTTGACACAAAAACCTATGTATGTATAATAGATTTAAGCAAACACTCAAGTTGTTCATATGAATATGTACCATTGCCAACAGCTTGACACAGAAAAACTAAATCTATTTTACATAGCATAATATATATCCTTCTTTCGCACCTGCTTGTCTCAAATTGAATGTAATTGGAGGTTATCAAATCCAACAACAAACTATAGTTAATATTTACAGAAAGCATATATGTGCAATCAGACTCGCTTCCTTCTTCTCTTCGCAACATGAAAACAGATGGAAATCCACACTGGCGCTGTGCGCCCACACAAAGCTCAGAGATAATCAAGCCGCGAACACAGTTCAGATGTAAACTTGCTTCAACAGGCTATGGCGCATCAGCGCCTGAACATTCCAACTCTCGTCACTGTGTCCAACACCACTGTTCGCACATACTCTAACTCTGGATCACCCTGAATACCCCACGCACATACACTCTGCAACTCACACACACACACACACACACTGAACTCTACCTCTAGGCTGCAGCGGCTATGGCCGCCTAACCTCTACTAGCTATGGATACTCTATCCTTCTTCGGCCCACTTTGTCCTCGGGCATCTGCAGACCACCTTGCACAAGACGCTAGGGCAGCGCTTCCGCATGGTTCACGCAGGAATGAATGAATGGCTGGACGCTGCCTCTTGATTTATACTTCTGTAGGTCGCTGGTCTGCCCCTTTCCACCGGGCCCATGGTGCACAAGGTCCCTCATGGTACTTGCTGACTGTGCAAAGTGAGACTGGGACTGGGTACCGCTGACTAAGCAAAGTTGGACTCACCACTTGCCCACTTGCCTCTGGTCTGCTGTGAATAACGTGAGAAGAAACTTGAAAGGCCACTTCCGGACCTTCCGGAAGTCTGTGGACGGCCTTTCAGGACTAGCAGCTACGACCTTGACCTTTCAGGACTGTAGCAGCTACGACCTTGACCTTTCAGGACTGTAGCAGCTACAACCTTGACCTTTCAAAATTGCTACAGCTACGGCCTCTGCCCAACTATGACCCCTACTCGACAGGTCTACAGATCGAATCCCTAGGGCTACACAGACCTATGACAGACTACAGTCAACTACCAAAACACAGGTCACGGGTTCAAACACACAGAGGTCAACTCGATACTGTACACGGGTGAGGTGAAGGTCTAGGGATCAAGCCCTGGGATCTGCATCTGCTACTACAAAGGTGAAATCGTTTCACTCCCACCGGCCTGAATTCGAGGTCCTCCGAGAATACTTCAGTCCAAGGCAGGACCTTTACCTTCCCTATCTCTCTCATAGGCTCGAACTATATCGGGAGCGGTCTCTAGAAGTTCTGTTCATGTGAACCAGCGGTCGTCCTTGGGTTCCTGAAAAGAGAATCTAACTTTATACTGTTTCTGTGGCCGACCTCTACCTCCCGTTCTGAAGACATCTTCATCGACTATGTCATCAATGTCGTACTTTCCGTCCATGTCCGGAGAGATCATGGACCGTCGTGATGGAAACTGTTGACTGGTGGTACAAGGCAGCAACTTTGAGGCATGAAAAACTGGGTAGGTGTGGAGGTGCGCCGGGATCTCTATTGTGTAGGACGGTCCATCCTCTCCGCCCTTAACTTCTAGAACTGGCCACGACCCTCTGTAAGCAGGTAACAGGTTTTGTGAGATGTTCTCCTCAGGCACAAACTCTTTTGAATTGACCCAGTCTAAGCTGCCTATTTGGAACTGTGATGGGCGGCGGTGCTTATTGGCTTGCTCTATCATTCTATGCTGGGCTTTCCTGAGGTTCTCTACAACGGTAGCAATCTCTTTCTCATGCTGTATCGCGAACTCTCTTGTTTCGGGCGGTAACCTCTGAATTTGATCCTGGTTGAGTCCCTCAAACGGTCTAAGTGGTCGAAAGGACTTATGCAATTCGTTGGGAGTGCGACAAGTAGCTAGGTGCATGCTATTGTTGTATGCTCTGGCTAACTTTGGGAGCATCTCATCCCAATTGACTTGATCCGGTCTAATGTACATTCTCAGAACTTGTTGCAGGATCTTGTTCATCTGTTCAGTCTGACCGTTAGTTTCAGGATGACGGCCAGATGACATCAATAATCTAGAGCCATAGACTCTCATCAACTCCTGCCAGTTGTGACTAGTGAACCGGGTATCTCTATCGCTAACTATAGACAGCGGTAACCTGTGATCACTGACCCAATGGTCGAAAAACTTTCGTATTACTAAATCTGTACGTGCCTCTGAAGGCAAGGGAACAAAAACTGCATACTTGCTAAATCTATCCACTATAATCATGACTTGGCTCTTGCCATGCCTACTCTTGACTCCTGCATCCATAAAGTCAATGGACACAGAATCTCTGGGCCCATCAGGAATAGGCAAGGGTCTGACAAGACCAAGAGGGGCTCGCGTAGTGGTCTTGTTTCGTTAGCACACCTTACAACTGCGTACATACTCTACGCAGTCAGCCTTCATACCAGGCCACGTATACACATGCATAAGGTTGGCTAATGTCTTCTGCCAACCGAAATGTCCCTCTGTGTCGTAACATTCCCCTAGGATCAAACTACGGACTTCCTCACTGTTGGGGACGCACAGACGGTCCACTATGTTAGTCTTCTCGAATAGTAACTCATCGGTAGTGCGGTAATCTGGTTCTGTCTCTGGGGCCTCCTTCACTCTCTTGAGGAGGTCACTATAAATAGGGTCCTGTGCATATGCCTCTTTAACTTTTTGCTGCAGGTCTCTCCCTATGTCCAGATAATGAACTATCGCTCCAAAGTAATCAGCCCTCCTACGTAGAGCGTCTGCGACTACATTATACTTTCCTTTCACTGGCTTGAGCTCAAAGTCAAATTGATCTATCTCGGCGGCCCACCTAGTAAGCTTGGGTGTCATCTTGGCCTGTGTCTTCAACCACCTCAGCGTCTCGTGGTCTAAATACACTTTGAAGTACCTCCCAAGCAAGTAGTGCTTCCAGTGGTCTAGTGCTTGCCTGAGAGCGTAGAGTTCCCTCTCATAGGTTGATGTTGCTACCTTCTCTGAAGGCATCCTAGCAGACATGAACTCTACGGGTCTATATCCATTGTCGTCGTCTTGCTGTAAAACAACACCTATGTCGTACTAACTTGTGTCAGTAGTAACAATGGATGGCAAGGACGGAGCGGCTACCTTGAGGACTGGATATTCTATCAAAGCCCTCTTCACTTGTTCAGGGCTGATGTACAATCTTTGTCCCACTTCCAGATTGCTTCTTTCTTTAGCAACCTGCGAAGGGGTGCAGCGATGGTGGAGAAGTTCCTCACGAACTTTCTATAGTAGTTGGCTAAGCCTAGGAACGACCGCAACTCTGTCAATGTGCGGGGCATGACCCGCAACAGTTGACGTTCCGAACTTCCTTCGAATAAAGGACCACTTCTCACCCCACACCTCACCTCCGGATGACGCGAGTTTCACCACCTTCGTCCCTGCTGCAAACGCTTCCTCCAAGAGTTCTGCTAGACTAAAGTACCACCTCGCGTTACCCACAAGAACGAAGGACGCAAGCCCTTTCCTGTACGCTGGTGAGGACGCTTCACCTTTCTTTCTCTCTTTCTTACCGATTCTAGTCCTACGTTCTGTCCCTGCACCTCGGCCGACCACATTAAGTGTCGGGGAAAACCTATAGATGAGCGTCTTCTCCAGCAATTGCAGTCCATCTCTAGCTCCCCCTACTACAGGGAGGACAAGGTACTTCTGCCATCCAAAAACTCGCAAAAAGGAGTATAGCTTGGGGGCGTGTCCGCTGTTACCGGTCTCGGTACACCGGATGTGTTCCCACCACCTCTCCCCTGCTCCTCGACTTGTCTGTCCGATGTACATCCTCTTGCACCAAGGCGATACCAAGCAATATACCGCAGGTCCCCGAAGGTCGAAAAAATCATGACCTGCAGGGGTAACCGTGAGTATCTTCCTGGCCCACGGGACCAGGCCGCTCATCACCAGCAGGAGGAAGCTCGCAATTAGCAATTGCTCAATAGTAATCCTAAGGTTCGTTAAACCATATGTCCCCCAGACGCTATCCCGAAGCCCCATGTATAACACGAGCTTGTCCCAGAGATACCATGTTGGGGGGGTACACCGTCAGATATCATGAGGTGCAGTATCAACTCTCGTCAATATGTCTTCTTTCTTACTCCCATCGCTGTCAGCTCGCCACTCGCGTCTCCGCTGCCACCAAGTCCTTGATTGCTTGAGCCCTCGAAACCCACTTGATGTTCTTCGTTTACACAGTTGTTTAAGTTCTGGGGCTTGCTTTGCTTTCATACTCTCCTGTAGTTCGAGGACGAAATCAATCACCCCCTACTTGGAGCAAGAGGCAACAACTCCCTTCTTCACCGTAGCTGCGGTTACTGGTTCCTTCCCTTTCCTCGACATTACCGTTCTTCTCTTGGTAA